AAAAAAAATTTTATTTTGATTGAATGCTTAATATTGGCCCTAGCTTACCTTTACATGAAAATGTGTTTTACCAACATGTGTTTATCATATATAACCGTTGTAATTAATTTCCCAAATTATACTCAACATTCATTATAATTAATGATATTTTACATAAATGCTATAATGGCAATGTTAAGCATGGGCATACATAATTAACAGTAGACTGAACATACACATAAAACTGGATACTAGGTGCAGCTGGAAATTGATGGGAGATTACATACTTAATTGCAGTCATGAAATCACAAATAGATTTGCTGTACCCCTTGTATGCAAACTTCCACTGTTGTGTGCTGTCAAGTCAGAACCAATCTATAGCTGACCCTCAAGTTGGAACTGATCTATAGCAGATCTTCCAGCAGGTTTTCAGACCCAGGAGGAGATCGACCATCTTTCTCCTGTGGCGCAGTTGGTGGACTCGAACCTCCTGCCCTTGGGATTGCACCACAGCTTCTTAACTCCTAGATCATGAGAGCTCCCTATTATTGTTGTTAGGTGCTGTCAAGTCGAATTCAACTCATAGAGACCCGTATGCACATCACAGTGAGACCTTGCCAGAACCTGTGTCATTTTCCTAATCTCTCCTGGGAGACGTAAGGCCATTGTGGCAGTCACTATCTCAGTCCGTCTCACGGAGGGTCTTCCATTTCTTCCACTATCTACCATGTTCCCAACTATGATTTTCTTGTGCAAGGATTGCTTGCATTACTCTTGTTGACAATGTGCATCAAACACTAAGAAGATGACTGATGACCATGACGTTTCCACAATCAGCCATCAGTGGAGAAGCCTTACAGCAGACTAGGGCCTGTGACCCTCTCATATCACACCCCGGTCTCCTTTATCTGCTACTTCCACCACCAGGCGAGCCCACAGTTGACCACCTTGCCTCTCCAGACTTCTCATGACACACCTTCTTCTGCCTGCTTCTACTTTTCTCAGTAACCTTCTGGGGAAAGTCATGGGCAATGACAGGCCGAGGTTTCTGTCTCAGGATCTTTATGCAGCCAACACCCCTTCTGCCCTTGGGTACCGCTGTCCCTGGGGCTTCTGACTAACATTTTACAAAGCTTTTTTTTTCCTTTTCTTTTTTCATCCTGACTCCTGAAGTTCTTCCGCTTAGAGGTCTGACGATGCACACATTGATTTTTGCTTTTCCATTTGTGGAAATGTCACTGTGCCAATTTAATTTTAATAACTTTTGAATTCCATTTTCTCATATAACCTCTATCGCAGTTCAGGCTTTTGTGAGCTCCTCTCTGGGTTCTTGGGATAAATAGCTTCTACAGCTGCATTGCTCCTCCAGAGTGATGGTGACACCGTGGTTAAGGCATTCAACTTCTAACCCAAGTGTGGCCGACCGGAGCCTCGGACCTCTGTGGGACAGAGGTGAGGCAGCGTGCTTCTGTGAAGAATTACCACCTTGCAAACCCCTGAGGGAAGTTCTATGTTTTCTACTCTGTGAATCAGAATTGACTTGACGGCAATGACTTTTCATTTTTTTTAATTAACTTTTCAATATTACACTCCTTTGAAGTCCTAGAATGATGGAAATGGTTAACACATTAGCCAAAGTGTTAGAAGTTTGTGTCCATCCAGGGTCACCTTGGAGGAAAGATCTTGAAACTTACTTTAAAATGACCCCAGCAAGCCACCGAAAATCTTACAGTGCAGATGTCCTTTCATACCCAAGGAGTCACCACCACGTGTCAGAACTAAAGACAACTGGCTACTTGCTTCGGTTAATATAGAATGGGCACATTAATTTTCTGCTTAAAATTCCTCAGTGACTCTCAGTTAGTTACCTAGTGCTATAACAAAAATACCCACAGGGGCAAGAAGGTGTGCTGCAATCCCAAAGGCACACAGTTCGAATTCGCCCGCTGCTCCTCTGGAGAAGGTGATGGGCAATCTCCTCCTGTGTGAGTAACTGCCTCTGAAAACCTGCTGAAAGGGTAGCTGTGGGTCGGTTCTGACTTGACAGTATACAAAAAACCCCAAAACTAAAAGTCCAAGTAAAAGCCTCCATTGAGCTATTCGTGCTTTTATGAACCTCTCTCCTGGGTTCTGGTGACCACTGGCCATCCTTGGTTGTCCTTTACTCATAGGTAGCCCTCACCTAGAATCTGTCTTCCCCCCTGGGGTGTGTCTTTTTGTTTCCTCCAGTGAAGAACTCAGATGCAGATAGGTTTAAGCCCATCTTACACTGGTCTGATCTTGCTACCATAATACAATTTTAAAGAATTTTTTAAAAACAACAAAATAACAAACTATTCCTGAACAGGCTCATATCCTGAGATGAAGGGTCAGAACTTGACATTTTGGGATTGAGGGTGATTTTAATCCATCACTGTCTCCTTGTCCTCTTTCCTCGAAGACAGTCGAAATTACTTAGCATCCTGAATTCTACCTGCCAGGATCTGCCTTCTCCCTGCCTGCTTCATATCTGCACGTAACTCCTAGGCAATTTATAAACACTTCCTTCATTGCCAAGTCTGCTATAACCTGGGCTGCCTCTGCCTCATTCCTCACTCTTACCAGAGTATTCGTCATCTTGGTCAATTCCTGCTTGTCCTTCAGACAGAGCTTGACAATCCCATTGGACCAACTTCCCTGACGCGGCTGCCTCCGCTGTTTGTTTTCCAGCGTCTGTCTCAGCTAATCACAGTCCATCTTCTGCTGTCCTGTATCACTGCATCCTTTGAAACGTCTTCTCATGGGCAAACCACACCATCCTTAAGCCCCAGTAAAGTGTATCCCATCATATCCCCTTACTCCCGTTATATACACATCTTAAAGGAAGGAACTGGAATTTTACACATAAAGAGTGGCCACAAGTACAGTCCTTGAGAATATAAGCAAATGGATGAGATATTTGTGATTCCGCAATGTCCCAAACAACATAAAAGCGGGGCAGTCTTTACAACACATGAGAATAATTTCTTCTCCAAACACTTTCACTTCATTTTGATTATGTCTAAACACAACACTTTGTGTCCTATAAATGGTATCACTAGGTTGCTTTCAGGAAGCTCTAGTAGTAA